GTTGGAATAAGAATCAGGGAGTCAAGTGTACATCACACAGTCTTTACCCAACTACACATCTGAGACTGCTAAACCATGAAAAAAGGTGCCATAACCCTGAACTTGGGGCTCCATAAAATGTTTTTTCTCATGGGAACCTCAGCTCATAAAAGAAAAGAAAAAAGACAAAGTCTTCTTTACAAGCTATGGTAAAGCAGACACAAAGAATTGACCCAGTTTCCAAAATAAACATTAGGCGTAAAGCTCTCCCCATCTGGCTAAAACTAAAGCCAGAAATGAAAATCAGCATGTACACACTGCATTTTCTACCTACACCGCAATAACAAGGCCAATAAAAACTTTAACATGGAACTCAATATTATACCTGAAATGCCTGAAGTCGCATATTAAGATTTGTAGAATAATTTTTTTCTAATATTAGGAAAGGGCAACAACCCACTTTTAAGCCTGTCTGGATATCCATCTAGGTCGAGTACCTCTCCAAGTCCAAGTCCCACTGAGCATGGTGTGCAGTCTCTTCCTGGGCCCCGATCCTTTGCCCTGAGACACATGCCTTTCAGTCTTCCTAGCTGCCTAATTTCTATATGGAAAAACACTTCTCTTTCCAAAAGCGTATTTTCTTTTCTCCATAATATTTATTCCTTGACAACTTTTCCTCTTAATCTTTACAGAACATTTTCTATAGAAAATACATCTTACTCTCCATAAAGCAATGTACACACTATATGTAAAAAGCCCTAACATCTTTGTGACACCACTTTGTTTCCATCTTAACCTCATCTCCAATAACTAGCTCCATGCCATGGACAGGGGCATAACTGCACCAATAGAATCTTAGAAGTATAGAATGTTAGCCCTGAAAGGGACCTTAAAAGTTATTGACTTCAACTTTGGCATTTCACAATTGAAAAAAATAAATAAATAAAACTCAGAGAGATGTAAAGACTCCCCAGGGTCACACAGGCCTTTGCTCTCAACTTACTCTATATTCTCCCAATCTCTGGATCTTACCGTCTTCTATTTATTTCCTTTTCCTGTGGGGAGAGGTCAGGGCAATGCGCATAATTTCAGCTTGACTTTTATCTGAATTCCACAGAGGATGCTGAAGAAGCTCATCAACATGAGAATATGATGTGGGGCATTGGTCTCCTCTGCATGGTGCTGATTGACCAGTGTGCAACTAAATGCTTCCCAGTTGCACTTAACTGCCTACATGAAGATTTGGATTTCTTGTCATATGCATCCCACTGGCAGATGGTCTTGCTATACTTTTAAATGTGCTAAACCATTTGTCTGCTGCATTGCAGATCATACTAGTCAATTACAGAAAGTTTTTAGACTGTTTACGTGATTACCAATTACATCTTATTTGAAAATTGCAGATTAACATCGTTATGACAGAGCTTCCTGTCTACCAATTAAACCCCAGCAATTTTTATCTTTATAATTTTTAGTTTGGTTTGTTTTGCTTTCTAAGACTCAGTTTGCATTGGACAAATTCTCATTGACACATACTGCATGGGCCAGCCTGTCTCAATTTACCAAAGCAGACAATAGAAAAAGTAGAAAAATGCTTTTAGAGCAAATGAATACCCAAATTCCAATCTCATAGCCCTTTGACATATGCTGAATATACATTTAATAACATATTTAATAGTGTACTAAGACATATATATGGAGAGAGAAAAAATTAATGGTTGAACTTATTTAAGGCAAAGAGTTATTCAAAACATATTTTTATTTTATATGCTTCTTTCTTTTATAAAATTATAATGAAATATGCAAATGTAGAGTTCCTTAAAATGGCTAGATTAAACTAAAATACAGTTTATGTGATAATTTAGTAATAAAGAAGGAACTAAGTAACTGCTTTCTTGATAAATGTTTAGAAGAGAATTTATAAAAACATATTAAGACAAGAGTATAATCCTATTAGAAAAATTCCATCACTGCATTCCTTTGTTTTATAGTCATCAAAACAAATCATCCGTGTACTATGGTGCCTTCTGAATAGCAGCAAAATTAGTCAGTGTGCCTAATCCTTAGAAAATCTAATATTATTAGGGGCTCAATAATAAGATTATGTAAATAAAATGGATTAGAAAACATTTCATGAAGGGATCATTAAGTATTTACCAAGCAAATTAGCAAGGAGATTACTTACATCTTGATCTAAATACACATACACACACACACATACGTACATACATACTGTTTTCCACAAGTGCTGCAGAACTAAACTGCAAAAATATTCTCTCACAAAAGCCCTTTGGTAGTGAATTTTGTGAATGTCAGCAGAGTAGCTGGATTCATTCATGAATGGACAGATACAGAGGAATGGGGAGGACGTGACTACCCTGGGGAGTAATGGCTGCTACCAGAGCAGTGGAGGTCACTCAAGGCAGACAGAGCATGAAAAAACCGAGAGAAAACAAATTTAAGGTAAAGAATGCATGATGGTAGATGTATATAGAGAAGCATCAGGCAACCCTTCCAATTCAGAAATCTGAACAGAAGATTTCCCATGTTGGGCAAATGTAGGAACAAAGGACTTAAGTCTAAGAAATTCCTAGGTAGCAGGTAAGAAAAGTATTCTGGGATGCTGCTGACATAGGAGAGATCTGGATGGCATCTCAGTTGAGTGGGATTAGGGGAAGGTCAATACTATTTTTTGAAGATCTGTCTGATATATCAACAAGGAAAACTTTTGAGACTGTGTTCCTAGACAGAGTCCACATCCAACTTAGCATTAGGGTAGCAAATCCTAGGAAAGGAAAGGCCATTGAAAAGAGGGCTCATAAGGACCTAGGAATTGGGATTGTTGCCACTCTCATACTTCTAAATTTTGCTGAAAGGCACATAAATTTTGGATGACTTTCTCTAGAAAAAGAGTCTATCATTTGCAAGTAGTGATTATTTTTCTCAACAGAATATAGGCAGTTGGTGTCTCCATCAATCTTTTGATAAAACATTTTTCTGTTTTTGAGTTATAAGGTTACAAGTGGTGCTTCCCAGATTGCCACACAGATTGACTAGGATCCTGGCACAAGTAGCAGCTTTATTTGTAATAGCCAAAAACTGGAAACAAATACAATGTCCTTCAATAGATGGTGAGTTAAACAATACTACATCCTAACCATAAACTACTACTAAGCAATAAAAAAGAACAAATTAATTATTGATATACTCAACTTAGATGGATCTCAGGGGCATTATGCTGAGTGGAGAAAGCCCATTTCAAAAGGTTACATTTTACATAATTTAATTTATATAACACACTCAAAATCACAAAATTATAAAGATGGAGAGCAGATTAGTAGTTTTCAGGGAATAGGGATAGTTGGGGGAAATGGTTAGATTACATATGAGAGAGAGCTTTGTGGTAAAGGAACAGTTCCGTATCTTGATTGCAGTTGTAATTAAAGAAACCTGCACATGTGATAAAACAATACAGAACTATACACATACATTATATCAATGTCAATTTTGACACTGAGCTATAGTTATATAAGATGTAATTATTGGAGGAAACTAGGTGAAGGTAACAAAGGCCCTTTCCATACTATTTTTGCAACTTCCAATGAATCTATAATTACTTCAAAACAAAAAGGTTTTTTTAAATCTATGCTCAAGTATAAGGCAAAATGTATTGTATAAATATGAAAAGTAGTATGGTGCTAAATACAGCATCTGACAAAATGTTGTCTTCTGAATTTATAAAGTACTTTTTTGCCCATACATCTTACCACTTTGGATATGTAGGTATCAGTTTAATTAATCATCAGGATCTCTCCCTGTGTATAAGGACATTTTCTGGCTGAAAGCCTCTGGAGCAGACAGCACTCGGAATTCTCACTCTCTTTCCAACTGCAAGCTCTAACCAGCAAATAGAGTCTGCGTGTTCTTATTCCTATACCTGTACAAGGGTGTATTGGACAAACAGAAGCTGAACAACTGCCAACACTGATGCTCCAATAGCTTTCAGACATTCTAAACGATGAAAACTACCTGCTTAGACCCAAGATATTAACCTTTCACAGTCCAGCCAACGTCCCTGGACTCCAAGAACTTTTACCATCAATGTCAAAATCTAAGCCTCTGTAACATGGAATCTCAGAAAAAACAGCTTAGACACACACACACAAAAACCAATGACCATGATCCGAAGGCTTAAGAGGCGCTAATAATGCTAATCACACCTTCAGTACAATCTTAAGGTTAGTTTAGGTACCAGAACTAGGTGTGAATAAGTCATCTAAGTCAACTTGAAGGCATGAATGATGGTGAAGTCTCCCTCAAGATCTTCAAAAGCAACTTCTTTGGTATGTATTTCCTTTAGGTTGTGGTCTTCTGATGCCATCCAGTCGCAGTCTGAGTGCAAAGGACATGGTCTTTGTCCCTTTTGGGGGCATTCCACTTCTAAGAACTTGGTACTCAGGTATACATGTTAAATCCTAGACACTTCTCATTGCTGAATGGGCTTATATTCAGCAATCCTTTCATTCCCTCAAATAGGCATATATTCAACCTACGGTGACTGTAATGAAGACTACGTTAATAAACCCCTTCTCCTAGTCTTAATTGTAAAAACCTATACAAAAGTGTATCCTAAGTTCAACTTTAATTTAGGAATTCAGTATTAACTAGAATATTTATAAACAATATATTTCACATTGGATCCTATCTGTTTTTGGAATTTAACACATTACCAACAAAATCTATGGAATGTGCTAAATGCCACCTGTCTGGATGCTGGTCCTGGTTCCTTCAAGAGAGCTCTGTTGGGTACACACATTAATATGTTTTTCACACATTAATATGTTCTGAAGAGTAAAATATATTATTTTGCATTTCTATTTTCTAAAGTAGATAAAAAATGCAAATAAGATGGATTAAATACCTTTCTGAAGACAAAGTAGTTCATTTTAATCCTATCTGAGATTGTAGCCAGGAAAACTGCCAATAATAATAATTTTTAATGAAAACATTAAAATACTTACAGCCAACCATCATCATAGCCACCGAAAACATCTTTTCCACATCTGTGGTAGGAGCTATGTTTCCAAATCCTATGGTTGTAAGGCTTGTCATGGTAAAGTAGAGAGAGGACACGTACAGTGAATCCTTGCTGGGTCCTCCTTCCCATATCCCAGCACTGGTATTGTAGCGGTATGGAGTCCCAATGCTCAAGGCCAGCTGGTAGAGCCAACTGTCCATTTGGATGGTGTTAGTGACTTCGTCGATGACCTCGTAGTCTCCGATGCTATACCATATGCAGGCCAGCCAGTGGGCCACCAGTCCAAACACACACACCAGAAGCACGAGGACTGCTGCTCCATATTCTAGATAATGGTCCAGTTTCCTAGCCACACGGCCCAGTCGTAAGAGACGCACCACTTTTAAAGAACTGAAGAGACTGCTGATTCCCTGGATTAAAAAAAAAAAAAGACACCACATTTTCAGAAAAAAAAAAAAAAAAGCTGGGGAAACAATATAATGACTCACCTTCACAAATTTAACCATCTATTTACATATTAAGAACAGATGTATACTATAGGTCTGATTTTTAGAAATCAAAAAAGTCAAAATGATAAACTGGAAAAAAAATAGATTTCTTCCTACCCAGAAATTCATATTTGTGAATTATTAGATAAAATAACTTTTCATTAGCTAGGAAACTCCCAATTTATTTTCATAAGTAGAATATAAATGGTACAGAGAGAAACCAAAGATGAAAAATGCTCAAATGCATTATATACAGAGTATACAAATAGGGGTGTTGAATTCAGAACTTTTATTTCCTTTTCCTATAAAATTTTCCCTCTACTCTAAAAGGTTTCTTTTCATTTCTTATTTTATGATAGCTCCAAATAGCAGAACTCTGAAAAAGGAAGCACAGTCTTACAGGCAATCAAACAGGAAATCCTTGGGTACATATGGGGAAAATGAACAAATAGCATTGTTGGCCCCACTACCTCCTGCCACAATCATGAGAATCACTACATTCTAGAGTTCTGAAAACGTGAACAGAGCTGAAGCTGAAACAGGTGTGTGGCCTCCTAAATTCTATTCATTCTCTAGCAAAAGCCACCAAAAAGAACACCAAAAAAAAAAACAGCGGCCGGAAAATTCATATTTTGTTGAGAAGCTTAACATAACAAATAAGGGATTATCCCAATCAAAGCACAGCACAGGCTTTCTTAAATCAGTGAAAGTCCCATAGTTACTTTTTGGAAGCATGTAATAGGCCACCTGCAGAGGTAGGATAAATTCATTCCTGATGCAGTTCACAAAACAGGCAGGGAGGGAAAATGGAGCAGTGATCCAGGAAGCCTCTCGTGCAGTCATCACCTGCAAATCCATTCATGTCCGGGACTTCCTTACTGCTAACCCTGTCTCCCAGAATGTAGACAAGGAATCTAATATAACTTACTCTGACATGAATTCTGACCAGCAAGGAGGAATTTGTTGTTGCAGTAGAATAGATGTATATTAATAAGACTCTAATTATGCATGGTAAAGTTCCTGATAATTAAGAAGGAAACAGTTGACAGGGTGCAGTAATTCATGCCTATAATCCCATAACTTTGGGAGGCCGAGGCAGGTGGATCACCTGAGGTCAGGAGTTCAAGATCAGCCTGGCCAACATGGCAAAACCCCGTCTCTACTAAAAAAATTCAAAAATTAGCCGGGCATGGTGATGGGTGCCTGTAATCCCAGCTACTCAGAGGCTGAGGCAAGGAGAATTGCTTGAACCCGGGAGACGGAGGGGACAGTGAGCCGAGATCACACCACTGCACCCCAGCCTGGAAGACAGAGCGAGACTCCATCTCAAAAAAACAAAAAAAAAAAAAGAAAGAAAGAAACAGTTAAGAATGCATCTGGTTTGCTGGTTTGTTATACTATATTCTATAAGGCAGTATGTGTTTGAAATTTTTCATAATGAAAATTTAAAAGAGAAAGATAACAAAGAGAAGTAGAAACAAGAGTCGCTATAGAAACAAAGGAATAGCAGGGTCATCCTGCCGGGTTTCTGTCTCAACTTCAATTTCTTTAGGCCTACCTCTGTTTAAGTCAAAACTCTCAAATATTGTGGCATATATACAGCCTAAAAACAAATTCCCATTTCACTTTAACACTTGGGGGAAAAAGATGCTGAACTTTAGTCAGTTAAAAAGAGTAGAATTAATAAAAGAAAGAAGACAAATTTGTGTAATTCAGTGACATGAGATGTTGGAAGGTAAGAAGAGTCAAGAAAGCTTGAAAGCTTTCAAAAATGGAACTGTGTAGTCATCAACAAGTAGTACAAAAATAAACATTTATGGAGCACTCCTACATGCCAAGTTCTGTTATAAGCCCTGGGGATATTAAGAATAAATATGCCTCACTTCTGCTCTAAAGAAATGCATAATCGAAATACACGAAAAGCTCAAACAGGGTTCAGTTTACAAATAAAAACAATGATGTTATAGATAATGTTTTCTGGTTAGCTCAAACTTTTAAAGGAACTTTGGGACTGCTGTTTAAATGCTGCATAGAAAAGTCATTTATACCTGAATTCTTTTCTCTGAAAATAACTAAAAGCAAAGAGAAGGAAAAACAGAGAGAAAACCTTCACCCCATTCAAACTAAGAAAGCCAACACAAGCCCCAACTAGAATGTGATGAGTTAGGACCTACTAGAATTAGGTCCAAGTGGCGGAAAGACATACATCCTTCATCTCTAGCAAGTAGATTGCTCCAAAAGGAGGTGACCCATCCCGACAGGCCTGCTCTGGACTCTACTTACTTGAAAGCACATTTTCTAATATTTAGAAGTAGTTTGACACTTCTTAAAAACTATAAAATGTTTTATAAGCTTAAAAAGTAATAAAATATTAAATAGACATTGATATATAAAGTATATATAAAATATTAGTTATATATCTATAAAGCATTATAGACTCTCTCTACCATAGGTTTAGAAGTAGTGTGACACTACTTAAATATTATAAAGTGTTTTATAAGTTTAAAAAGTAATAAAATATTAGTAAATATACATACTTGATATATATACATAAAGTATATATAAAATATTAGTAATGTATATAGATATATACCAAGCATTATAGACTCTCTCTCTGCCATAGGTCCTCTGGCACCACTTCCTCTTGGTTTTTAGCCAACCCTCCAACTGACGCCCTTTCAACCACCTTCTATATATGAATGATTCTCAAGTCCATTTAGCACCAAAAAAACCTCTCTCCTGAGTTATTGATACTAAGCGAAATGTCTGCTGTGCATTTCCACGTGGATATCCCACAGGTATCCAAAAACAGGTCCCAAAGGGAACCCTTTGCTTCTCCCAAATCAGCTATCTTCTATCATGTGAATGACATCATTATCCACCCAGTCACTCAGACCTGGGGCAAAGCCTCCACTTTTCCCATTTCCTGCCACATGTAGCTGGTTATCAAGTCCTGAGAGTCTCATCACTCAAAGTGCCTAAGTGCTCAAAATATATCTATTTAATAAATCTCTCAGAAAATGTCCTTCTTTTCCATTCCCATAGGCATGTTTTGGTCATGACTTCACAGTTTTTTCTCACTTGTGTGACAGGAACTGCCTCTCCATCAGCCATCCCACCTCTATTCTTGCTTCCTCTAATTCACAGATCACACTATAAAGGCTATCAGTCTCGTATTTTTTTAAATGCACATCTATCTAACCATGTCCCTCTTTAATATAAACTCCTTTCATGTTGGCTCATTACCTGTAGGAATAAATATTAATTTTCAAGTGTGACATGCAAAGCCCACCAGGACCTTGTACCTGCCTACCTGCTCAGCATCTCTCCTGCCAATTCCTCCACCTGCTCTCTAGGCTGCTGCCGTTCTCAGGTAGGAGTAGTTCTCAGAATGTCCATGCTGTTTCATGCTACAGTACAAGTTATTCTCTTTGTTTAAAGGCTTTCTTCCTCCACTCTCTTAGTGGTTGGGATCTTACATACAGTTTATGACAAACACTTTCTCTTCCACGTGTACTACCCTGACATCTTCTCCCTACCTCTGCCATCTTCATTGTCATACTCTCCCCCGTCCCCCACTGGGAGAATTAGGTATCCTTCCTTTTTATTATCATACAGTTTCTGCACATCTCTATTATAACAATTTTCACTGTCACACTTACTACAAGTGTGTTTGCATATTCCAGGAAACTCTAAACTCTAAGGAGTAGATCTACTGTCAATTACAAAGCTGGCATATGGTAATATGTTAAGCAGCCAATAATTCAATAAACGAAAGAATAAACTTTTGTGAAACTAGCAAATGTTGGGGGTGAATTTGGGGAGCTTTAATTACAAACTCAGAATGATTTAACAGTATAATGTAGAGAACAAAACAGTCAATAAAGGTTGCATTAATAGTGTATTTCATTGAGTACAAAAGAGAAATTATCCTTAATCTCTACACTGACTAGGTGTATTACTCCATTTTCATACTGCTGATAAAGACATACTTGAGACTGGGTAATTCATAAAGGAAAAGAGGTTTAATGGACTCACAGTTCCATGTGGCTGGAAGCCTCACAATCACGGAGGAAGGCAAAAGGCACATCTTACATGGCATCAGGCAAGAGAGAATACGAGCCAAACAAAAGGGGAAACGCCTTATAAAACCATCAGATCTCATGAGACTTATTTACTACCGCAAAAACAGTATGGGGGAAAACACCCCCATGATTCAATTATCTCCACCTGGTCCCTCCCAAAACACCTGGGAATTATGGAAGCTACAATTTAAGATGAGAGTTGGGTGGGGAAACAACCAAACCATATTACTAGGTCACACACACAGGAGATCAGTTGAATATATTCATCAGAGAACTGCCAAAAAAAAACCCCTCAAAACTCAACTCTATTAGGAAAAGTGAAAGGAACTGGAAAAAGGGAGATTGGGGCAGGACACTATTTATATTCAAATACACAGTGCACGGATGAGGGCTGAGCTCACTCTGTTCAATCCTAATGTTGGTAACCCAGAAAAAAGTTGGAGCTACAGGGATAGAAGGATGCAAACAAGATTTCTTTTTTTTTTTTTTTTTTCAATGTTCAGTTTCCTTTAATGACCCCCATCTCCCTGAAGGGCAGGTGCAGGCAGCTAGGCGATGGCAAGAGATGTTCACTTGAAGATCTTGCCCTGATTGAAGGCTTTGCCCACATGCTGGAAGGCCCCCTCCCAGGAAAAGTACTCTCGAACCAGCGTCTGGGTCTCCTCGCTGCCAGGATCCAGTTTCCGCCATGTGTATGACTCGTAGTCCACCTGCCAATCTGGACTCAGCGGAAAGGCAAGCTCCTGGCCTCGGAAGACCCAGACTCCAGAAATGGAGCTGCTATTGTTGGTTCCAAAGAGGATGACACTGGCGAAGGCATTCTTCCTCAGCTTGTCC